ACAATTATTTTATAATCAATAATTTTATTACTATTTATAATAATCTGCAATCGATTAATTTTTATAGTTTGTTCTGGAAAATATTTGTGTTGTAAATAACCTCCTAAATTAGAATTCTCTACGTAAATACTGTCAAACTGCTGGACGTTACAGTTATTTTGCTTTTTTTATTGCCAACCTAAAATTTTTTAAAAATAATTGGGTGCCAGTTTCAGCTTCATAAAATTTTACTAATTCTGGTTTCACAGAGGGCCTAACTAAAATTTTTTGTGATTCTTTTATTAAAAACAAATTTTTCAATTTGAATGTATTTACATTTACCTGTTATCTATCATCTTGATTTTGACCTCTACGAACGTAGTCTGATTGCCACGGTACAGCACCTTCTCTGCTTAAAAATACCTAGTTAGTGCTTTGCGCATTTTTTCTCCAACTAAAGTTCCTTGACGTCCAGGTCTTACAGGCGGAAAAGATTGCAGTTGGTTGTTTCCATCAAAACGCCAATCCCCTAAGAATTTTTCATTTTATGATATGAAATTTTACTTTTTTTTTTAATATTTACCTAGTCTGACACGTCCATTTCCGGTCTCCTGATCGATGTAAGATGGTGGACAATAGCGTCTATTGTTTTGATCTACATTGTTATTTGCTGTCATTAAAAAATTGTGTAGACAAATGATTGCCATAACAATATTGTCTACCCTTTGAGGGTGTGCAGAAATATGAGTGTACAGAATCCTCCACCTAGAAGACATAATACCAAAAGTATTTTCAATAATTCTTCTGGCACGTGAGATTCTATAATTAAATATTCTTTTATCCTCTCCTAAGAAATGTCCAGAATACGGTTTCATGAGTTTGGTTGAAAATGGAAATGCGTTAACACCAACCAAATAGAGTGGAGTTTCAATATTCGAATTCGGTATTCGAAACTGTTCATTGGACATATTTAAAAGACCGCTGAATAATCCTTCTGACAAAGAACTGTCTGTAAAAATTCCTGCATCATTTGAGCATCCATATGATCCAACATCGACCACAGTAAATTTATATTCATAATCGCAAATTGCCATTAGCACAGTGCTAAAAGTTTTCTTGTAACTATAGAAGAAACCACCAGAATTTGGTGGTGCTTTTATTGTGATGTGCTTGGCATCCACGGCGCCTAGACAATTTGGCAAATTCCAAATATCATTGAATCCTTTGCTAATTCTAATCCAATCTTCATTTGTGGGAATTTTGAGGTAGTCAGGTGCTAATACTTTAATCAAGACAATACACGTTTCTTGTATAACTGACCGCAGAGTTGACTCACCCACACGATAAGATGCTGCTATAGAAAATATAGTATCACCAGTAGCCAAATATCTGTAAAAGAGAAAACTTCTCAAAGACAATATTTCTAACTAGTAAACAAAACTTTCTAGACTTTTCTAGATCACTGCTACAATTTATGGAGAAATTGAGAGTGAAATTCCATGCTGTTTCAAAGTGCAAAATTCAAAGTTGGAAGTTATAAGAGTGAAAGGGATAACCCTATACGCTATACTTCTTATGCACTCATGATTTTTTACTTGGCGTTTTGCACTATAAAGTGACATGGGAAAGCATCCTCACTTCTTATTAACCTTCTGTTCAGGGTGCAGTCCCATGGAGCAGATTAGCATATTGGCAGATTAGACTTGACCAATCAGGTGATTGCAGGGAATTTCTGGTTTCTTTATATCGCGTTCCTAAACTCATCCGTTTTAGGCCACGGTAATGACGTGCCGTGTACACTCTAGTGTCTCGCTATTTCATGAGCTTTAAAATTTGTCAAACTGTTGTCAAACTTTTCTCCGAACAAAACAAACAATACAACAGAAGCAAAATGTCTGAGAATAATAGTGAAGAAGAAGTTTCTGAGCCTGTAAGTATTTGTAATAACATTAATAAAAATTGAAGAACGGAATATTTTAATTGGCATATTAATAAGTTGAGTAAGTTTCCAACAAAAAATTGTAATAAAGTTTAGTCTCATAGCTTTTTTTTTGTATTTTCTAAGGAAATGATAATTAAAATATTACAAATGTTTTGACAAAAGGATGAAAAACTGAAGTTTTAAAATATTACATAATCAAATATTGCATTTAAATGAAAATAACAGCATCTTCTAAATAAGAATTGATTTGGGTAACATAACCTAAAAATGAAAAGAACGTTTCATATAAAAAATTGTAATTTTTGTAATAATATACAATGAATGTGTAATTTTTTTAAAATGAATTTCTTTCACTTTTTCGTGATTCAAAAAAAGAAGGTTTCCGAATTTTGGTTTGAAGACAAACATTAGGTTAATTTATATACTTGAAGTTAATAACCGTCGTTAATATATTTTAGTAATTAGAAAGGCTTTTCGGTCATTTTTTATTTATACAGTTAAATCGTACAGGTGTCGACGTTTCGGGTCGTTACCGGCCCATCTTCAGGACTACTTGAGTTGTAGTCTCATAAGTCTCATTAGTTTTATTTATTGACCTCAAATTAAGGTCACATTATCTAATGATTATAATATTGTAAAACGTTTTATTTATTTTAGACATTTATATGCGGTTTCTGCGAAAAGGACATAAATGACTTGAGTGATGTTATGGATCATAGTTGTTTTGCTGAAATGGATCCAAAGATACACAATTTTCATTGCGACAGTGAAAGTCGGCTCACTTTTGTAAAAATTCCTGATGATTCCAAGACAAAAAAAGGGAAGGGAAGAAACAATGGAGTGAGAAAAATTTTGAAAGACAACGATGTTGACATTGCACTAATTAGAAAGGTGCAGGTTAAGCCGTGTCTGTATAGTAAAACGAAAAAAATTTGCCAAGTGCAAGCAAATCTTCTATGGGAAGATATCAGTAAAGAATTAAATGGTAAGTATACAGTAATAGTCTTTCATTAAATAACATATTTTAAAACTTCAATTAAATTTTAACTAAAATGAAATATTTCTAACATTAGGTAAATACTCCGCTTCAGAGGCTAAAGCCAAATGGAAACATCATAAGGATACTTATTTCAATCGAAAAAAAAACAATGCGGTTTGCTGGCAAAGTCAGTATTTAGGATTCTTGGATATTTCTGAAAATGCCGACGAGAATGATGTTAATCTTCTGTAAATATGAATTTATCTTTCTTTTATATATATTTAATTGTAGGCGTTGAAAAAATGAATCCATATTTGACTTAAAAATTTTATACATATTACAATTATTTGTCTTATTTTTTTTATAGAAATAAGCAAGATGTTGAAAAACAGCCAACGAATTCTAATAAGCCTTCTTGCAATGGGAATAAAAGAAAAGTGGCTAATACCAATGGTGATTCAAAAACCAAAACACGAAAGACCAAAAGCAGTATGTTATTAAAAACTGTACTTTTTAATTAAAAAAAAAAATATAGTACTATAATAACCTAATAATAAATTATCATTCTTTACAGCAAAAAATCATGATGACGGTGATGAACAGTCCGCTATGGAAAACTTTGTTTCTTCGTTCATTCATCAAAGGCCACAACAAGATTCTACTGACGGATTTTGTATAATGTTTGCAGATCTTTTAAGGAAAATACCTGAGGAGAAAAGAGCAACAGTTCAGTTGAAAATATGGCAATACTTGGAAGCAATAGTAAGTCGATTCCAGAATTCTGCGTCTCCAGAGAAATAACTTTATGTTAAAAGTAAAACTTTTCCTTCGTAAAATGTTTGATGTTACACTTGAGGCACATTTTTTTTAATTCTTTTTTATTTTACCTTCTTTCAATTTTGTCTTTTTTTTGGATAAACCATCTAGTGAACACCAAGAAACAGTTCCAGAAATATTATAGATTGTTTCCAAATGTATGTTATCCTTGTTACACATTTTGGATGAAATTGACATGGGAACAATGTTTTACATTTCTGGAACTATGTTTCGGTGTTCACTGGTCATTAATTCATTATCTTCCAGCCTTTATATTATTATTTATTTTAAGTTCTTGTTTGAGTGTATCGTTTCTTCATGTCACGTCATTTCAAGCATTTTTTTAATATTAAGTATGCTATTACATTATAATCATATGTTGTGAATAATTATAATTTATAGAAAATTTTAAGATTAGTATAGAAAGTATTTGATACTTTGCAATACTACCAAATACAGTTCAAGATATTTTTTGCAATGTGATAACAAAGACTGTAGATTGCAAATTATATAAAAATTTATGTTCCTAACTCTTTGGAATTAAGTAAATTATGTCAAAGATATGCGAGATTAATTAATTATAGTTTATAAACGTATGATGTTATGTTTTAAGACAAAATGTTCTGCCCAGAATATTATAAAAATATTATATTATCAAAATTTGAAAAAATATTTTTATAAATCATTGTTTTAAAACTTTAATTTATTTTGAAAAATAAATAAACAATTAAACTTTTTTAAAATAATTTATTGAAACCACAAATTTTTTTTTGTTTAAACTATTTTTTAAGAAATGTCACCACGCAAAACTTTTGTTATCCAGTTTAAATTTTAAAAAAATTTCAAAATCATAGGTTGTTGACTACTTTTCCTGAATTAAATTTCCCTTTAGTTTCCACATTGAAGTGAACAATTTCTGTAATTTTATTTTGTAACTTCCTCATTCCTTCTTTCAATTATTATATTTTTTTGCCAATAAAACATTTTTTTGTAAATTTAGCGCACATTTAGATTTTTTTGAAAATTTTTATTATTTATTGCAATTAGTCATTATATTTTATTTATTTTTTAATTACTGTATATTTAAAAAATTTATATGAAAACTGAAATTACAAATTTACCTAAAAAAAATTACATGTCTTCGAATAGTTGTTATTGATTTTATTAATTGTATAATTTATTACATTTTTACTTTTTTAATGAAAATATGAAAATTTACATTAACAAGAATATCACCATTTACACTATAATAAAAGCATTACTTTTATTACAAAACTATTCAGTTTAAAAATTGTTTTTTAAAACTTTCTCCCACTGCCATTCCACAGCTCCTTTGTCGTAAAAATAATCAGAAAAGATTTCTCTTGCTTGCACAGAATTTTCTTGGTCAGCATTAACATTTCGTTCAATGTTCCTAAAAGCTCCATTAGCAATGTTATCTTCTGAACGTAACGTCTGATATGGTCGTTCATTTTCTGGAGCATTTTCTTCTAAGCTTAATATAAAATTGTGTAACGCAACAGAAGCTAAAATTATCTTTTTAATTGTTGGAACTGAAGCGTTAATTTTCCTTAGAAAAATTCTCCAGCGTGTTGCTAAAATTCCAAAAGCGCATTCGACAATTCGCCTTGCGCGACTCAGTCTGTAATTGAATACTTTCATTTTGTTGTTCAAATTGTCTCTTCTAGGATAAGGTATTAAAACTCGATTGAAACCCGTAAAAGCTTCATCTCCAACGAAAATGTATGGAGCAACTGGACCATCATTTCCTAAAAAAAAGAAGTATTCATTCTTTGAAAAATCTTTAATCTCTGTAACGCAACACTGCAAAAACTCGTTTCTTTATACCGTTAAAGTTTAAATTTTTTAATTTTATAGACTTCCTTCATTTCAATTCAAACTTTGAGTATTCAATATAATATAATAATTTTTGCCCAAAAAGCGCTCTTATGCGAATGGTGCAAGTAAGAAGTTTGTAAATTTTAAAATTAAAAATTGCACATTCTTTATTAAACAAAAACCTTTTTATGAAAAAAGGTTTTATTGCATTTAGTTGTCTAACTTTATTAATTTTAAATTTTAATTTAAAATTTCTAAATTATATATCTAAGATAATTTTAAACACTCAAATGCAAGAACAAAAAATCTATCTTCTGTTAGAGACAAGTGTAATAATACCTTAAATTATAAGTCACAACAGTGAGATTGAATATTTACCTAATGCTTTTGGAGGTGGTATGAAAAGATCATCATTAACAAGCCTGTTATAAAATTTACTGCTTCGTAAAACACCGTTTTCGCTTCTTCTCCCTTCCCCTCCGACGTCTATTACAAGAAATCGTGCTTTTGCGTCGCATACAGCCATCAAGTTAACACCAAAATCCTCCTTGTAATTGAAATAAAGAGATCCGCTGTTCCCTGGAGCCTGAAAATATGTAATTTAAGAAGTATATACATGAAAATGCATTAAAAGATGTGTATATATCTATATGTTATTAAAAGTATTATCAAATTACATGAATAAATAAACAAAGCATTATATTTTTATCGAAAAAATTTTTAATTACTTCATTTATTATTTCAGGTGGCGTACAGCCATCAAGTTAACACAAAAATAATAAATCATGTTAAAATCTAAATGACGTAAAAACAGGTGCGGCGGAGCAAATTTTTCCCGAGTGTGGAGTTGAGTGTTAGACCGGGGGGAGTAAAAAGATAATTTTTGGAAATTAAATTATTTTAAGAAAAAGACATTTTTTTTTAAATTAAATTATTTTAAGTAGAGATGTGCAAAAATCCCGAAAACTCGGGTCGGGTTTCGGGATTTTTGCACAACTCTAATTTTAAAAAAAAACATTTTTTGGAAATCAGAAAAATGCCTATCGATAGGCATTTTTCTCATTTTTGTATTATTGCAAACATTTCTCTTAAGAAATAAAAATAAAAACAAAATCCAGAGTGTGAATGAGTACTCCACACATTCCACAATATCTCCGCCGCCCTTGGTAAAAAAATATTTGTCCCTTTTTTTCGTGTACAAAAAATTGTTTGTGTATTATGCAAAACAAGCTCAGTGAAACTATAACTGATCAATACTGTACCATATATTATATATTACTATGTGTCTACAGTAATATATAAATTACGGATTTATTTATTTATAAAAACCGCACTTACTTGTATTTCAACCTGCTTGCCGTCAATCGCTCCCAAGCAATTATCAAAATTCCACAAACTGATAAAATCGTCACTGATTTTCTTCCAATTTTCTTCAGATGGTTGAAGAAAATAATCATCTTTTAAACAGTCATATATTGCTTGACATGTTTCACGTACTATAAGTGAAATGGTATTGTGTGCCACTCTGAATGCAAATGAAAGAGACACCATTGAATCTCCGGTACACAAATATCGAAGTGTTATTTCCAATCGAGTTCTAGAACAGATGGGATCACGAACCACTTGTTGCTTTTCTATAATAGGTTGAACAAGTTCATGTAGTTGTTCAAAGATATTGGGTAGAACACGAAGGTATGTGAAATACTTTTCATGGTCCTCATCTTCTCGTAATTCTTTAAGCAAATTATCACTGTCTCCTTGTTGATATCTTCTCTCAGCACTAAAAATGGGTCGCACCCAAAATCGTCTAACTGATGGAATAAAATTCCTCAACCTTGTTGCACGTTTACAACGAATGTACAATTCCCAAAGATTTCTTATTTTTCGAAGCACTGACTCTCTGGCGAACGGCAACATAGAAGTTCGATTATACTCCATAATCAAAAATTGGATGGTTTGCAATTGGTTTTGAAGATCCATAATTGGTTGAATAAACTGCAAACTAAATAAATAATATAAGTATGTAAATGAATATCGCTTATAAAATTTTATTTTTAATTTTGTTATTCATGATTTGAATGTTTTTTATTCCTTAACGTATCCTATAATTTTTTTCAGCAGGGTTACAAAAAGTTTTTATTTTTGAAATATTTCCTATAAGGTAAACTACCAATAGTCGACAACAATTTTTTGAATAATTATTAAAAAATTAATAACTTGTAATTAAATGGATGTTTTTTTAATTTTCTTTTTTAGTTGCGTAGAGGACGTTCTAACCTTCAAATTGGTAGTTTGTAAATCAATTAAAATTGAACTATTTATTTTTAAAAAAATATTTTTAAAAAAAAGTGCTTCAAACCAATAGTCGACAAAGCAATTATAGAAATGAACCTTAAATGAAAATAAAAAATTGAAATAACTTTTGACTTTAATTTGTATTAATTAAATTATAAAAATTATTTTTTGATTCTTGTATTTCATATACAAATACTAGGAGTTTGTCATCATAACCTTTAATTATGTTCAAAGAGCTAAATATATTTTAAGAATCTATTTAACCATTTAAATAAGAAATACAAAAGCATTATTACATAATATTATAAGATTTTACAATAATCTTCTAATATATTAAGGATATTTATTAACATGTAGAATATATGACTATTTCTAATTGTTATATGTTATTAACATGGTAATTACCTTTAATTTAGATGTGAAGTATTTTTTATATTAATGTTATTCAGGCATCGTAAAAATTACTGGTGTGAAAAAAGAATTAAATGTGTCCGTTTGTTTGAAAACAATAATTCTCCACTTTAGTTTTTGTTGTAAATATTAATCATAAACATAAAGTAATATAGATATTGGACTCTCAATGGACAACAGTTGTCACAGCAATACCTATGATAAAAAAGGATAGAAATATGTGTGTCTTTTTCTATATCATGTGTTTTTATGGCAGTCGTTGTCTCGTTTATGAGGCACCTTAATAAGTTGAAAGAGCACGATTTAAAAAAGAAAAAATATATATTTATATTTGATAATAATTATTCAACAATGTTTAAGTTTTAGGTTATTTACAAGTATCATTAAAGAATTAAATTGAAATATAAACATAAATTTCCCTTTTTTCTTCTAATCTGCTATTATGCTGATTTCCATACCCGGATGTCACATGGAGCATAATTGAAAAAGCAGAATAGAAAATGGACCAATGAAAATTAACTTTCCATAGTGGCCAGCTGTTTGTCTTTTTAAACACATTATCCAATTTGTTCATTCTTAATCGGCTATTATGCTATTCTGCTCCATGTGACATGGGGGTCTGAAATTCAGCAGATTAGCATATTACAGAAAATAAATAAAATAATAAATATTCAATAAAATTCGTCAATAAATACCCATATGAAGTTTTTACAAAGAATAAATGACGGAAAAAGTTTAAATAATAAATAATATAATAATAATAAATAAAGTTATTAAAATTCGTCAATAAATATCTACATATGAGTTTTTTTACAAAGAATGAAAAAAAGGAAAAAAGTTTTCCATTAATTTAAAAAAAGTGTTAACACTTTTAGACAATCAATACAATTATAGCTTTAATTTATATAATTGTAGAATGTTGAAATCCAAGAAAAAGGTCAAGAGAATTAAATAAAGTACGGTAATGCGTATATAATTAATATACATCTTTATTATTTTCATAATAATTTCATTTTCTTTTATTATAATATAAATCATCAATCACTAAAAGCATTAACTAAATCATTAGTATAGTTCAATAAGTCTGCTTCTGCATTTAATTGCTGGTTGCTTGTTAATTTTTTTAATTGATTTTTAACAATCATTACAAATCCGTCTATAACATCGGGTTTCTGATGAATATTTGTCATAACATCCATTGCTGTTTCTTGGAATTTCATGAACACATCATCATCGGTTTCTATATAAAAAAATTATGTAAGTATTAATTATTAAGTATTTATTACAATCATAATTACTATAACATTAGATTTACTATATTAATTATGAAAGTTAAAACTTCTTTCTCACATACCATTTTCAGGCTCATCAGCAGTGTTATCCAATTTCTCTTCACTTTCTACATTGACCGATGGCTTGAGAGAAGATATCGTGCTGCAACAAAAATTATATATAAATATATGTGTATAAATATATTAATCAATTTGTACAAAATGTTTTGATTAAAGAATTATTGCAAAATAATAGAAATTCGTAATAACATTGAACTTTCAGCACATATGCATGTAAAATAGACATTTAATTTTATTTATATAATAAAATTGTGAATAACAATTAAGTGAACTTACCTGTCAAAAATCTGCATATCATTAAGAAATTCCATTTGCTTCATGAAAGGAAAGACTTTCTTCTGCTTTCGCTTTGCAGCAGATCCGCTAGGCAGATGTTTCTCATTCTTCCTTGCTTCCAGATACTGTTTTTTTAACGAATTCCACTTAGTTTCAATTTGTTCAGCCGTCAAAACTCCTGTAAAAGATTTTTAGCATATAGTCATATAATTACTTTTGATTTCTTAGTTATTAATTATAAAATCAATTTTTTTCAAAATTTTATATACCTTTCATGCAGCACGAAATTTGTTGCCATAGATCTTTTTTTTTTAATTTAGTCCTTTCTTTGACATTGATGTTTTTAAAATCATAAAGTGCAGGTCGTTTTTGGACTTCATATATAATAGCATCACTCAGGTCAATATCTGACATCGGTACAGGAGACTCAGGTGTTTTTAAATTGACTACAAATATTAAAAAATACATAAATATTGTAAAACACTAAATAACATGTTATTAAACTGATGATCTTGTAATATTAATAATAAATTAACTATGTATTTTTACCTAATGTTACAACCATTTTTTCATCTATACTAAATCCGTGTTCATCTTGATCAAAATGTTGAAAACAACCGTGATTTTTGGGAAGATTTTCCAAAGTTTCACGTGTAAAATTTATAATTTCTCCACAGTAACCGCATTTAATAAGCTGGAAATTTATTCGTTTTATATTATATGATAACAAAAACATTTATTTTTAAAAATAACTGTTTATCAATCTTCAAAATATATTATATTACTTTTATATATTACTTTTATTTACTTCAATTAAAATAATAATTGTTTAAGCTTTATTTATTACTCACTACTTCGTGTTACTTCTTAAAATACTTACAGGCCCAGACATTTCTTCTTTCTTAGTATTTTTAGGCATTTTGCTTTTGTCGGAGAATCGAGAAACGTTTGTTTGACAACAGTTTGACAAATTTTAAAGCTCATGAAATAGCGAGACACTAGAGTGTACGCGGCACGTCATTACCGTGGCCTAAAACGGATGAGTTTAGGAACGCGATATAAAGAAACCAGAAATTCCCTGCAATCACCTGATTGGTCAAGTCTAATCTGCCAATATGCTAATCTGCTCCATGGGACTGCACCCTCACACGCTAATTTATTTTGACAAAAAACAACTTCTCAACGCGAATATCTATAACCATAGAATTTTTTGATAACTGTTAAAAACATACACCGATAGTTTAAATATTTATCAATACTTTTATGCAAGCCGAAAGTCGAAAAAATTGTTAGTGTACAATTAGTGTTGCTTAAAAAAACATTTTAAAAAAGTGTCAACAAAAGTGAAGTGTGAATGGGGAATCACCTTGTAGGAAAATGTAAAATAAGATTTATTTCCATTTTTAATTAATAAATGCTGCAATTAATTGAAATGATGATCGACTGACATTTGGAATATGTTAATTTCGAATCGATGAAAACTTTCCTATAAAGTAAAGCTTTGATAACTTGATAACACAATTTTGTTAGCCCTGAATTAATATAAGAACAGGAATCACATCCACTAATTAATGGAATAACTTGAGTTGAGATCTAGTTTCTTATGAATTGAAAACAGCTATTATTTTGAAAATATAAAAATATAAATAATTGACAAATTATCCAAGTAGGTGATGCAGATGCAAAAATTTTAAATACACTGTAAAAAATGTTTTTGTGTTAAATTAGATGTAAAAGTAAGTAATTAAGTAAGTATTTACAACGTCCACATTCTCCAACAGACCTAAAAAATTACCATGACAACGTGTGTGTTAAACAAGAACAAAAGCTAAAGCATGTATGTCCCCGAGTGTACATATAAAATTAATAACTTTTACCTTAACGTCATGCTGAGCCGATGTCCAGGTGTCAATGGTTTTCTGCGACTCCTTTTTAAGAGAAATGGAGTTACTTTTTCTAATAAGTGCTTATAGCAATCAACATTCATTCTAGTATACTTAAAAAAGTACTCTTCGTCGTCCTGCATTTCCTGAAACAAAGTTTCGAACTCCCCAAGAACAGGACGACGTTGGTTGATCGGTCTTACGCCCCATCTTCTTGTTTTATTTGCACTCCTTATTAATTTTAAAATGCATAAACATTCTGCGATAATTAGAATTGCTAGAACTATTTGCGAAGTATCACATGAAACAATAAAAAGTAGGGTAGCAATAATAAAGTTAAAATGGAACAAGCTGGAGAAAATCATCGGAGATTTAAGAAGACACAAGAGAACAAAAAAAAAGAATAAAAAAAAACAGAAAAATAAGTAAAAGAAATGCACCTTTAATAAGTGTATTAGGAAAAATAATTGGACCAACTATAGGATTACTTATGACGAAGGGGAAAATTATAAAGATATAATGAGGGATCTAAATGAGGCACAAAGGAATATTTCACATTTAGTAGGAGAACAGACACATATAGTAAGAGCAGAATTGCATACGCTCTACGATATGGCAAAAGCACAGCATAACTCATCGCAACAATCAAGAAAGGAATGAATAAAAACTGAAAGAGAAATACTAGATTTAAAAAATCAAACTAGTCGAATAGAATAGAAAGGAAATTTAAGAGTACAAATAATACGATGGACTAGACAAATAGAAACTTATGAGCTCAATTTAGATCGTACTTTAGACATCTTAAAAGAAACAAAAGAAGGACATCTTTCTTCAGAATTGTTATCAGACAAACAATTGATAACAATAGCAACGGAAGCAAAAAAATATTTAAAGTACCAAGAATTTCCCATGCCTATAGACGAAATAAGTACAACAACAATCAGTAAAATAGCGAAAGTAAAATTACAAATAGACACAAATGATTTAATTATGTCGTTAGACATACCTTTAGTGGAAGAAAAAGTTTATATACTCTATAGATTGCATGAACTGTCAGTCAAAAAGGACAAAAAAAATAATAATAGCAACAGGGCATACATACTACCACATTCCAAATACTTATCTATAACAGCCAACGAAGGATTTTACTTTTATCTGACAGAAGAACAATTATCCGATTGCTATCTAACTAATGAACAATATATTTGTCACTACAAATACGGGGCATATGATATACTCTTAACACCTATCTGTGAACCAGAATTAAGAAGAAAACCCGCAAACGAAACTAGTAAAGAATGAAACACTATATTTAAAATGTAAAGACAAGAGACCTGAAACCTACCAAATAAGAGGAATAGGAATAATTCATATAAATACAAAATGCACACTAACAATTGACGCAGTACAGTTACCAATATTAGCTATAAGAGAAAACCCACACCAATATATATGAGAGATTCTTTTTCAATCGCCCCAGCCCAAAAAGTCAATTTTCTGGGATTGGCTTCATACTTTGGTAAATTGTTGTCCTATATGATAGTAATAAATCCCTAAAATATAAACTCATTAAAAAAATATTTGTAGAAAGTAGAGGGGGTTGAAGTTTTGACGTTAAGGGTAACATTGTCATTTTCAAATCCGTATAACTATGACAAAAGTTAATGGATTTTAATTTATCTATAATGAATTTTATTGCATTTTTCACGTACTTTTCAAAAATGTATACGAAATTTAAAAAAAAAAAATTTTAACCCCTTTTTTTTCAAAATCAACCCTTATTTTTCGATTTTCACCCCTTCGGGTATTTTTTTTTTTTTTTTTTTTTTTCCCTAATTTTTCTTATTCTTATCATTAAAATAAGACATTATATATAATTCTATAATAATTTTACAATACTTAAACTGTATGTCTTATTTTAATGTATTTATTTATGTATATATTGATAGGATAGAGTGTGGAAACGAAATTGATCTCAGAAGAGATATGACATTCGTTTTCACCATATAAGTTCAGAAAGTTGAAAAGCTAAAAATAGGATATATGTAAGCAAAATGTGTAGCAAGTTCGAGCTTGTTTGTTTATACGCGTGAAGAATGTGAAGGTTGTGAAGATCCAAGTGTAATATGATCTTCAAAAACCCATTGTCAGCATATAAAAGAGAGAATTCAGAAAGAAGAAGATTCAATGTCATACATGCGATGTAGATCATTACCATATAAGGAAAGTGATTCTATTTATAGATCACCCCTTCCCCAATAATATGACATTTCTCCCACTAATTAGCATAATCGACTAGTATATAAACAAGAGCTTTTTCCATAAAGCTTGTCAAAAGTTCCGGTGCAATCTCTAACATCGTAGAGCGACCCTTCAGTTTACTTTCGCCCTAATTATTGTATTCTTTCCTGATAGCCAATAGGTGCAAGTTAATTTGACTTTTCACTTAGAACATAGTTCTTTCCTGATAGCCAATAGGTGCAAGAGAAGCAAATTAACACTTAGAATCAATAATTTAATAGAAATAACTGTCGTATTTATAACTATAAATACTAAAGAAATCTTGCATTATCTCTTTTTCTAAATTTGTCAATTTAGTATATGTTGCTTCTCTTACACCTGCTATAAAATTCATTCCTGTCAAAGGTGCGAGTGACGAGAAATAACAATAAAGAACATTGCAATTCTTTAAATAGTTATAAAACAATTTAAGTCGTTAAAGTTACACAAGTGCAACCAAAACGAACTATTTCAAATCAAATCAAAACCAATTTATAGCGACTAAGCTATAATCATCGATTTATCCGACTTCATTGCTAAAAGTAAGTAAACGAATTGTAAACTTGTATCATTATTGTATAATCATTACTATATAATTATTATTTAATCAATAAATGTTATAAAAGGGAATATTTGACTTGTTATTGTAACGCAAAACCCGTAGTTTTGACAAGTGACCACGATCCTACATAAAAATAAATATCAGGCTTTACCAACCTGATTAATCAGCCTTATTACATTCAAGTAAATAAAATTAATTTTTATTTAAAACCACGCCTAGTTCGGAACGTAACAGCTGATTTGGTGGCAGCGGTGGGATTGTCACTTTTGTTGCAAAAACAATTTTATGAAAATTCTCAAATAATTCGGCATATTTATTTAGAACAAATTTCAAAATTTTTAAGGGTTCAAATTTATTCAAAATCAATTATATCACCCTTATAAACACATCACATTTCATTAAATGTTTATTCATATGTATCATTATAAACATTTGTAAACGGTCATTTTAAATTCTCTAGCAGTTTTGTTCTTACGCCGTCCGGCGAATTACAGAATTTGTTATATTTTCATTTTACGCCGTCCGGCGAACTTGAGAATTAGGGTGTTTAAAACCGACTGTTTAATAAATTCATAAAATCATTCAAAATCTTATTGAGTAAGCTATTTTTACGCCGTCCGGCGAACTATAGCTTTGAAAATTGGAGATCTACGCCGTCCGGCGAGGTTTTCATATCAATAAATTTTGATAATATCATTGTTTGGAATTTTGAGGTCTTAGCAGGGTCAATTTTACGCCGTCCGGCGAATTTTGACTTTGTATTCGACGTTTTACGCCGTTCGGCGAATTCTGTCTAAGCCCTTGGTTTACACAAACAATTGAAAAGAAGTCTCAATTTTTTTGATTTATTTGTAATATCAATTTTCTAAAATAACAATGTTATTTTCAGTCAGATTAGATTATGCCAGATAAACCTAAAATTGATAGAAAACCCAGAAATAGAGGAGGAACAAACGCAAAAAGGCGATTTGATAAAACCGATAATCTTAATATAACAATTCTTCAAAATCAACAAGATTTTTCTACATTCTTCGATTTATTATTACATCAAACAGAACAATTAATATCCGTAAACAAGAATTAAAATAAAAAGGTTATAATAAAATTCCTAATGTATTTTGTTTATTTTATTACATTCCTTGTATATGTAATGTTTTTCGCCATAGTTTGGTGGACAGTTTATTATTAAAAATTCGGTTAGTAACCACAAATGAATAATTACTTCTCAATTCTTGAATATAATCAACATAATTATCCTTACGTTGAATTAATCTCAGGTAATTTTAAATCACATAAAGGTAATTTTCTTATTGATCATACATTAACAATAAATTTGGTAAAAGAATCAGCAATATCATCGTTTGTATCTATAGATAAAAACGTCATAATAACAGCAAGACAAGGTGCAATTTGCACAAGTGGTAGTACATTAATAGAATTCAGCGATTTTTCTCTAAGATTTGAAACTATCGATTATCAAAGTGAAACAGAAATTATTGGAATTCTTGGTGCGCCATTTCTCGATCAAATTTATGAAACAAATTATTTCAATAGAATAGCAGTTTTTTATGAAAGAGCAATTTGGAGACGTGAAATCTCTATCCAAGGCCGAATCAGACGCCGTATTATCACTTTTATCCGAAACTTCTCTTTCCGAAGAATTCCAATACTAAATAGAATTCTTAATGAATAGATACAACAACGAAATTTCATTTAATTTAGTTATTTACCCAAATATCCACATATCTTCCCAAAATTTAAAAGAAAATAGAGGACTCTTCATAGTTAATCCTTGTTTAGATATTAACCTGATTAACGAAAATAAATTGGCACCAGGTACAACAATTAATAGATCCGAATCTCTATTATTGACTCCAGGACCAATATTCACCTCAGGAACAGTATCAATAATAATTGCGCATAAACCTATCAAGTTTCACACCTACATTAATAATCAACAACCCGAATTGACAGGTGTTCTTGGATTATCTTTTCTTAACACAGATCCTAGTGAATTTCGGTTATAACTTTACATAAAATTGTACATAATATACAATATTAATCAATATAGCTTTCGACATTGATCATAACAAAAATTTCAAATTTCACAGGATCATTCTTTTAAATATAACTAATCGATAGGACAAAAACAAAATTTTTAGATTCCCAAAATTTGGGAGAAATTTAAGTTTACGTAAAGCCCCCTTGAGAAAAGATATCAGGCGAATATACTAACATAAGAGGTTGCAGTTGCAAACAGGCGCGAAAGTTTGATTTTATACTCTCGCACTACTGTCTAGCGCCAAGTGCGTTGGTCCGTAAGTAGTACAAGACGAGTTGTGTCAGACAGACAATAGTCCGATAACAC